TTTTCTGCAGTACCATGTCGAGATGTCCGCTGGATTGAAACTTCACAAACGGATGCATGACTTCTGTCTACCATTGTGTGGGCGTTTCCGCCTCATAATCAACCTCTCATTCACGTGTATTCTAAAAGCGTAGTCACTTCACTAACTAAAACAGTTTTATTTGTCGGATAATAACCAGACTATACAGTCTCAAAGTACAATTTTAATATTCTGGCGGTCTTTAAGAACTTTGCTGCTAAGGTAATAAGTGGCGCACCTGAAATAAGAATAGGCTAGGCTAAACGAAAGAAGATGTGCATTAGCGAACTTCACGCTGCTGGCCTTCAGCGTCTCGAAGGAAGGGAGTAAGACGACATTCGTCACATGTTGCTCCTATTACGTACTGTGAATGGCGCCAAAGCTTTACAGTACAATGAATGTCGTAACTTAGCAGCCAAATGTTGCGCAAGTAATCTCTTAGCTAACAACAAACCCAACGGTCCTTATGAGAGTCACAGAAAAGAAATCAGGGGCCGCGCACTCAGCATTTTCCAGCTGAATGTCGAAGACATCTCCCATGCAAACGCGAATACCTATCGAGGACGTTTAAAGAAAGCAGGATTAATATCGCCACTGTACGTGAGACGCACATCGAAGAAGATCGAAAGTGATGGGATGCAGAATTGCTGGGTTCCATACGGTAGAAAACATCAATGAGGCTCAGCTTTGCAGCAGTCTGTGCGGCTCTTGGTGACCCATGCAATGACCGAACTGGTGTAACTTTCGATATCATTAGGGAAAAGTAACCAAGTTTCATGGGAGAACCCAAATCCTCCTACTTTCTTACTAGTGCGTGGGATCTTCAATGACAGAGTCGAATTCGTTTAGCCGAACGAAATCTATAGTAACGCTTATGAACAGAAAGAGCATTGCAGAGAAAATTGCATTGAATAGCATTGAATAGTGTCATTCAAAAGCGGATCTATCATCGGTTTCATGGAGAATGAGTTGAGACCCATAACACGCTTGAAATAGCGGAGCGAGCATCCCCCTAAATCGCCACGACAACCATGAAAGAAATCCGTAGGCCAAGGAGACTGACCAAAGGGTACAATTCTCCTTCGGTCGCTAATTTCAGGCCTGTGTCATTTTGACCTGTCACATAAACGAATTGAAGCACTTCCTACAACAAACAGAGCCAGCATTAGGTGAACTAATAGTGCCATCTCTGACCACATCGAGAAAGTGTATAGATGAACTAAAAGCGACTAAGAATCGCATGTAGGCGGATAATGCATCTGGAGCGCTTCACCACTTGGCAGAATGTCATTCTACTTCCGGAAAACTGCTATCATAGAAAGGTTCAGCATTCTATTTAACACCTGTGTTTCGCGAGTTTTAGACGTACATACCAGTGCTTCAAAGAAGAACTGAGATCAAAGACCAAACGTGAGATGATTTAAATTTAATAACTTCTATGAATTTCTTACATGGCAAGACCAGCCAAATTCGAGTGGACTTAAGTTTAAAAATTGCACTAAATTAAGGTTCTTAAAATCTTCTGTGTACTTTATTGCATTCGGTGTGAATGTGAAAGCTGGTAAACAGAATAAACAAGGTTTAGTTACACACAGCGCATGCAACTGACTTCTCAGGTGACAGATACTGGTTTGTCATCAGACAGATCACGTGTTTACGTTATGTTATATCAGACCGCTTTTGTTCCATTTCCGTTTTTCATTGTGTCATCCAACGCCGATTGCCAAATTGTCTCATCGGCGTGACAGTTGAACTGTAAGAAGAAAGTTTTTCGGAGGCGTTAAAAAATATTGTTACATGCGAACTTCGCGAATCATCTGGAGCGGGAACAAAACTATCGAATAGGTTTCACAACAGCACCGCGCACAGGCCCTGTTTGAGTTCTTCAAGA